CGTTTATAATAGTTGATTTTTCTTATTTAGATACTGCCATACTCCTATGGAATAGCGGTATCTTTTCTAAAGAATTTCCGCTAGTATCGAAAGAATATATATAGAGTTCTCCGGGCTAATTCTAGTCAGTATCAAAAATTTTCTCAGTCTTTTGCTGATAGCTGAGCCATTCATAACTGTAGAAAAAGTTTTTACACAGACAGAGTTGACTTTTGTCTATGGAAATTATGTCAGAATTCATTAGTGTAAATTAGTTCTAATCAATTTCCAGTTGCTTGCCATTAAACGAACATAATCAAAATGGTTGTAGAATCTAAAATTAACTTTCTTTCTACAGTAAACTTTTACCTTTGTAATTAAAATTGGCACCATTATTTGCAAAATCACAAGCTCTATTCACCTATGTAATTTTCAGCTCAGTCGCAAGTATTATTAATTAGTTAATTAGAATTAGGAGAAATGAAAAGACAATTACTTTTTTATATATATGTGCCCTGAGATAATTCCGGTCACTCCGCTCAAACTGAACGGTATAAACAGAAATCTGTTTTCATCAGCTTCTAAAAGCCAATTTTGAAACTAGATCCAATGATAAAGTTATATTACACACTCTAACCTATCATACGATGTGAAACTTGGAAGAAAAGACAGTCTCTCAAACGGAGCCTGTGCTTGAAAATCTTTTTATCGAGATTCCTTCCTCCTTTTATAGGATTTTTAAGTGAAATTTTAATGTTAAAGTCTATTTTGAAGTTAAGTTTATTGATTTTGTTATTAACTTTTTTCAGGGTAATTGTTTCTTGTTATTATAATGCTTTTATAATTTTTACTATAACTTTAGGCCAAGGTTTAATTGTTAATCTTAGTTTGAGAAATTTAAGTGTAATACTTAGATTAGTAGTGGTTTTATTTTTAGATTATTTTTAGATTAATAATTATATGTTGTGGTCATATAGGTTTTCTGAAAATGACATTTTTATAATATTTGAGAAATATTTCATGATTTTAGTTATTACTAATTAACTTAGAAAATTAGTTAATAATCGCAGAAAAAAAATTTCAACTATTCACATCGATAAGACTATGCTCTTCATAGTGATTAAAATTTTTTCAAAAACAAATAATGTTTGTATGCCATTTTAAGACTTTCATTCCGGAATGTTACTACAGTAAAGACGTTCTGAATAGCCTGAGTGGTAGTCAGTGTCCGAAAAATTATAATAGATTATAATATGTTAGTAAGTTATAATATATATATGACTTGCTTATTTATATTAGAAGCAGATTATTTTTTGAAATTTTCCTCTTAGAAGTACAGAAAATGAATATATATAGTAAGCGAAAACTTGAAGAAAGTCTTCAGTTTTTCTTCAACATTCGGATTTTTTTGAAAAATTCTGATATATTTTAGAAAAGTTGCTTGAAAATACTAAGAAATTCAAGAGTTCACTTCAAAACAAGATGTACGAATTTAGTGTATAAATGGCACAGTGAATTTTATGTATTTGTATAGAGAATTTTATTTGATTGTATTCATGATTTCTATGATTCAATCCTAATTATTCAGAAAATCTTTATGTATAAATTTGAAAATATCGAGATTTTCCATCGGCGACTGCTACAAAGTTGAAGACATCAGTTATGTAGATATAGCCAGACGTTTTCAAGATGTAAAAGTTAATAGTTATGTATATGATTAAAACCACTTGAATCGGTCCCGATAGGGAGCCAAATCATTCAGTCAATTTGGCGTCGGAACCACATCGACTAAATCATTAAATGTTCGATTCTATATTGCTTATCAATCACCATGAGTGGTATGTCCGAGAGAAACGGAATGTTTCATCAAAACAAGAAAAGAAAGTCAAGCAAAGAGAATACGTACATTTGTACGAGAAGGTCTTTTTAGTTTTGTACATAAGGATAGATTGCATCTGATAAATATTGTAATAATATTTATTTAATATTAACTTATTATATCGTAAATTGGCATAGAAGCCATTTTTGAGAAGATCGGGCTGTTTACGATCAGATTTTTAACACGTAGGAACTTAGATAGATAGAGGTGATCAACGAATGGTGAACGGATCTGATAACGAGATGCCTCTTTGGGTAACTCAGCGATTTTGGATCCTGTAGCTCAATGCTCGTCAACATAAAGTTTCTCTTAGAGAATAAAACAGTAAGATCTTAGTCGAACTTTCGTCTTTTGCCATCAACCATTTTCTTCTGTATTGCTCGCGTTGCACACAGACAGACAACCGGCCAAAGAACCACCTGGCTGTCTGTTTGCTCGTTCCCTGTCACGAATATACGTCTGTTTTACAAGATTAAACAAATAATAGATGCATTCGCGTGATTAAGTCTCCTATCAGAACGATGACAACGTTTTTGTTTAATCTGCTACTGTGTTATTACTCCTTGTATTCACAGATTCGACTCGCCATTCTCTCCAACGTCTAGAAAAAACAAATTGCCATTAGACATAATGCCAGATCAATCATATAATCAACAAATAACACAAGTTGCTACGACAAATCAGCAAAGTCGATAACTATCATAGCAATTCGTCTCAACCTATTCAATTTTCGCGAAGCGCATCAAAAAGCCTGTTTTACATATAAAAGTACTAGAATTAAGACGGTGTCATTACAAAAAGGTGATTCTGCACTCAAAATGTTTTCTACGTAAACGTAAAAGATTTGCAAAACGTCTTGAACGTTCCTTTATATTACAGTGGGATTTAGCTTGATACGTGCGAAAAATACATACGTCGTTTTGATCTTGGTTGTTTGAAAATAATTTTCACATAATGATTAATCGCTTCGCTAACACAAACATCCGTGAAGAAAAATAAATTCAGAATGAAATAGTGAACTAATTTATAACTTTCTGATATATAACTGTTTGAACATCTCGACGAAGTTGTTAGTGAGACTATGTAAATAAAACGAACGGTCTTATCACATCCATTTGAGAAAAGTTCACGAGATGTGAAAATGAGATGAATATCTAATTTTCAATGGATAGGTAATCAGAAAAAACAAAATGTTGGTCATCCTGCTAATTCGAGATTGCATTTCTCAAAACCAAACAAAACAAAAATATCTTTTATTGCACTAAAAAACGTATTATTTGATCTACTCAAGTCCCCTTTCTAGTGGAATATGATATAATATAGGATATAATTTTTACGTATGAAAGATTCTTATTTATAATATGTCTAAGATTATACCTTGGGTCTTCTAGGCTATTATACTGAACTGTATAGCAAAATATTGACCTAAATTATTTGTGATTCTTTTCAGCGTCGCATAGCATAACTACACATTAGTCAAATTCTGTTGGTTCATAGAAAAACAATCAGTTATTTCTTCATCTGCATTAGTAGTTTGATAATATTTCGCCAAGCATGTACAGTATGTTTGCCATCGCTAGGATGCAAAGAGAGCAATACAGAAAAAATGGTCGACGGCAATATAACAAAGTTCTATTCGGCTGAGATTTTGTCATCTTATTTTCCATAATCGAAAACAGAAAACTAGATGACAGTTGTGTTGCGCATGAATTGCTAAGGTGATAAATATGGAATAAGATTAATTATTAACTCGCGAACTCAGTACGTGTTTCTGTCTGACAATGTGTTTTTTGACAATTGATAGACAAGTTGTATCGATAGAAGAACAAACTGTACATGAGAGATTATTTAGAAATAGTTGTTTATAGGGTGATTTTTTTCAAGTTAACTTTCGACGATAACAATATTGATTCACTATAAGGTTTGCGATTACCGAAGGTTCCCGTCTGGTAAAACGGTGATCTTCGCCAAAGAAAAAAAAAGAAAAAAAAAAGAGGTTATAAACAAGTAGATGTAAGTTAAAGTAAAAAGTAAACAAGTAAATAACAAAAAGAAGGAATATTTGGAAAAAAAACGCGATAAAAATAAATACAAAACAGAAACGCGATATGCTTGAAACATGGCTAGTTTTGTGAGTTAGATAGAGCCTTTTGAAAGACAATTGAGATGAAGAGTAGATAACTGATTCTCGAAAATTTTTGTAGTCGGTTACCATAGTAGAGAAAAAAAGAAGATGCTGTTGAAAATCAAACAAATTTAGAATGATGAAGACGTAAAGGTTTGTAATGAGGATAGAGTAAGAGTGAGCCCGAGGGTTAATATGATAAATGTTGACAAACTGTGTCGGTTTAAAATACTTCCACCTGAGAGAAAGTTGCGGGGAAAGAGAAGTAGATATATAGTCACATAGAGGAGAAATAACACAAGCAACAAGTCTGTTTATAAAATCAGGACTAGAAAGAGTGATAGAATTGTCATACAACACACAACAGTAGTCAAGTTTGGGAAAGAACACTCGAGGGAAGAATGTGACGCAGAATCTCAGCAATTGTTAAGCCAGAGACACACCCCAGGTATCAAAAACCTTCCCATCTCTTTGTAAATTCTTAATATAATCTATTGATATACTGTAACGTTCGAGTTATTGTATTTTCAGTTTTCTTCTATAAGCTGTCGATCTGTAAATAATGTAGTAATAATTTGAATGAAAAAAAGTGACTGATGAATTAAGAAAATAAAGACTTATTCGGAGCAATTGTTATTAATTCGACTAAGTGAACATAGCCGCTTCAATTATAGTATATATGCCAATATAACCAACTATGCAACTCGTCCTAAAGCGATGCAGGAACCCTTGTCGACGATAAGTGTGGTAGAAAATAACTAATACTGTAAAATCTTTAAAAACTTTATAATTTGTTTCCCAAAATTGGTGAGTTTCTGTACACTATGTGACTGGTCGATCAAAGCAAGATAGAAGATGCGCCATATAAACGGAATTTCCATGTAAGTCTTAGAGAAAACACTTTTAAAGTCCTGCAGAACTTTCCAGAGATTGACGACTAGTGAAAGGATTTTGCTAAGCGTCATGGTTTAGGTAATAATATGATGAATTTTTTTAGTGATAAGTATTTTTCAGATCATGTCGACGTATAAATATTTGTGTTCAAATGCAGCTCAACACATCCCGACCGGACACATGGATCGACATGTTCTTGAAAGTGAGGGAGCAGATAACTATCTGATGAATTTTTATATTACAAACTACTCGAGTACATATCGAAACCCAAAACAACGGCCAAAGGCAAATATCTTGAGCGACAAATCTTTGACACCGGAGAGCTTATTAACAGATAAAATCAAATTAGAACGTTCAAAAACCGGCTATACGAGTAATGAACGTTATTATTTACCCTATACAAGAACATTAGACGACTTGGATAATCCTGTTTTGGGGCGAATATGCGAAGATAATTACTTGACAACAACACAAACTCACTTTCAACCTTATGAACTGAACAGTGGTTTCGAAGATTTACCACCAAAAACAATAAAACAAATATCAGGCTTTTATCGTGAAAAAGCTGTTCATAATCCAGATTCAAAAGTACCATTGGTATAAGATAAGAAAAAGAAGAATTTAAAATGTTACAACCTAACTTTTTTTCTTTTCTAGATTCCTGGTAAAGAAGCAACCACTTATGGCAGCCAGTTTGTTAAGCCAGCTGTATCAGAGCCCGTAATATTAGGTCAAGTAGGGCCAAAGGAACTGTCTGGTTTTGTCAATAACACAGAAAAAGAACCGATAACAGGCACAGGCGGTGAACGATGGTTATACAAATCAAGAGCGCTTGGACCGTCTGAATATAAAGAAAAATTTCCACCATATGATTATTCGAAGGTAAGAAGAAGAATAGTCTAATATCTACTTCACGATTTTTTTCATAAAACAAAAATGACATATTTTCCGCAGGAAATGAGTGATTAGACATTATTTTTATGACTGCAGGAGAAATGAGTTCTATAAGTGTAACGTGTACATCGTGACATACTTTGAGCTCAACTACCGTATCATATTGATCTCGAAGAAGCTTAAAATATTTATTTAAGGGTGACGATGACCTTCTGAATATTATTACTCCAATTACAAAAGTGACGTCTGATCGCGTAATCAAAAACAGTGTTTTACCCAATGATGATATATTTCCAAGAGAGAAAACGTAAGTACAAAGAGATTGTTATGGTTTATTTATTGTGACTCTACTATGTTGTATTATTTAGGGAATATAATAAAAGTTATCAAGGAACTCAATTTCTTCCAGAAAAGATGGGAAATATTGAAATTGGCAAAAAAGTATCCACTGGTCCGACGACAAATGAAAAGGGTCATGTTCAAACATTTGATGATCCACGACGATTTATTACCACGTATCAGATCAAGTAAGATGTCATTTTACACTCGTATACACACACTTTAATTTCAATTATGAGGCATGAGGTATACTTTGTTCTAGCCATCATTCAATGATTCCACAGGGACGAGATCGAGAAGGGTATACAGTGGGAGGAGTTCAGAAACCGGTAAATAGCGGCTACGTAACTGACGTCAAGGTATGGAAGCCTTTTGAATGCTTTAAAGATGAAAGAGAAGAACGTTTTCGATTAGACCCGTATCAAGTCAGGTTAGTAATATTACGTTATACACTTATTTTTTTTAAAAATGTTTTTGTACATAATTTTTTTTCTATTCAATTTTAGAAGTCTACGAGCTCGCGATCTCTTCTTTGACGATTCAACACATGATAAGAAAAATCGTTTACAAAAACCATTGGAAACATTCTAAGTTGATATTAAACGTCAGTAATATGATATACATTGATACCATTCCGACATCATCATTTTTAATTTTTTTTCTATACATCTTTTGTTTTAAAAATTTTTTCACACAAATTCATTGTTTATTATTCCTTATGTCGAACTTTACATGTAAAAAGCCATGGAAGATATTTTAATTCTATTCTCGTAGATAATATAATTTATTTATACTCAATGACAAAACAATATTCAAACAATTGTTGCTTTAACCAAGAGAGTGCACTGTATTCAATATTTGTTCCATTGACATTTGACTTCCGAAAGTAGAGAACAATGCTGCCCAAGCGGGTAAAATATCTTGAATTTCATTGAACGAAAAACATTGTCCTTGAATATTAATGAATCCTTTACAACAAACAATATGAGTATCGGGGCAAGGTTGTTCTTGATAGCTAAATATAAGACATAAGAGTTTTTCTATAGACGCATCTATTTCCACGATACACTTACTGTAACAAATGACCATCAGCAGAAAAAACCGGCTTCGATGGTGGAGTAACTGCACAACACCAATGACTGAAGTTTAAAAAAATGAACAAAATAAGAGCAAAATAACAGATGGATTTTTTATCGTTCTATTCTTACCTCATTGTATCGCGTTTCTGTTGTTTCCACAATGACAAAAATACTTTTGCACTTTCATCTAAATCGGCTGGATCTTTGGTTTCATAAAAATTCGCTGCAGCTAAAGCTACCGATACAAAACTCAAATACAACAGGATATGCATGTTAACCTCCTCCCTTTTTCAATTTCCAGTAATGATTATTTTTAAAATGAGTTTTTAGTTTCTGTTTTGGTCTTTTTCTTCGGTGAGAATAAGAACACATGTACAGCCATAGCAAAAATATCATATCTACAGTTTGCTTATTGCTGATTTGATCATTGTGGATTTAGTAGGCTCTGAATGTGAATTAAGTTGCAGTGTCTTTATTTTAAATCTGTAAACCAAAGAGTTTTACAAACTTCTACAGGATTCCAGAAAATACCAAAAATCTTGCGATAGCCCCGTGCAACTCTCAGCAACCATTTTGTTTTGTTGCTACCTATAGAGTATAGGTATCACTCATTTTTTGAAAAATTTTCAAGTTTTTCCTCACATTTTTGATTGCGTTGCAATAGGAAATTGAGCTGTTAGTTTCTTGCAAAATTGCATATAATGGAACATTGTCGCTATACTGTTGTTCACTCCAATCTTGGCGGATACGGACTCTGCTTAGAATCATATAATATCTATACGAACCGATTCGAGTGTTCAAGTGAATCATTCGATACAAAACGGACATTAAACAGAAGCAGGGAATGGAATAGATTTTGTCACATCAAAACACAATCAACAAGACAGCAATCACACTACGCGAGAGTTGCGAATGCAGTGCAAAGCTTCTTCCGACGAGTAAACTGAGTACTAAGGACTGTATCTGTGAGAAAGCCAAAGAAAGGGATTTTAACATTCAAGACAAAAAAAACTTGATACCATTAATCAAGGCATGATTAGAAAACTAAGAACTATCCTCTATAATCACGTAACACTCAGTCTGTTACAAGACTACGTTAATTATCATCGAAATAATTTTTTCGGGCGGGGCAAGGGGAGTCAATTGATCCCCAGTCCTTTGTCTAAACATAAGTCATCAGGAATCGGAATTTGTTATTTTGATTTTAAGGGACCACATGTTTTTCATAAAAAACGGTGCATATCACACAAAAGGACTGAATAAATAGGAAGAAGTTTAAGTATATGTTGCTTCGTGTCGTTTACATTCAGCAACAAAATAGTGTAAGCAATATTCTTAATTGTACAATTTTCAAAGGATACTGCATACAACCAGATAGTACTCAAATACTCTGTATTTAAATCTATGTCGTATATTTATAAAAGTTCAAGAAACTATTGTGAGACAACAAAAGTCTGCAGTCAAAAATATTCACGAAAAGGGTTTTTTCCAGACTTCTTCATTAAGCCTTTACACATTGCATCTTCAATATTAAAAATAATTTTCATTCCGATACATCTTATAAGAGAGTGATCTATTTATATTAGTTACGCATGTTCTACGATCATTACTGTAGTTCATGCTTCTCGCATCGCATATTGTAGATGGGATTAAAAAGCTTAGTTTTCCTCATTATCATAAAAAAGTGATTTTCTGCTGACATAGACATAATAACGCAGATGTCATTAAAATTTCCAGAAGTATACAGTAGTTAAGTACAAAGATATATACTTATGTCACTGAATCGAAGGAAAAAATCGAAAATAAAAAACTGATGGTCAAGATGGGGCTCGAACCCACAACCTTTGGCTTATTAGACCAATGCACTACCATTGTGCTACCTGACCTCACATAGAAACCAGGTATAGCCATAATTTATTATTGAATACCCTCAGTTCAATATTCACTAGGATTTGTATAATAGTTTAATTTTTGCTGTGCTTCTCAACTGATTGTTGTATTCTGCTATATGTGAGAATATTAAGATGTACTCTATTTTACGTGCTCAAGACGATTTTTTACTTCAGAATAATAAAAAACATTCTTGTACTTCGAAAGATTCTAGAAAACCTTTTCAAAACCCAAAGATCTTGTGTTGATTTTTAAAGCTTCGAACTGCATAGCATTGAGCAGGTAAAATAGAGTACATCTTAATATTCTCAGATAATTTCGATTGATCTTGACTGGGTTATGAATTTTTTAAGTACAATCGAAAATAGGCAAAAATGATTTATTCTATCTAATATAGGTTTTCTGAAAAACAAATATTACCATGAGATTCAGCGTGGTTGATTGATTACCTATAATTCCATTATTTTCGGAATTATCACACCTAAAGCAATGTGGGGGACTCTCAGCCAATCCGATACCACGCCTGAACCGGGGAAACTCAACAGTTCGCATTTTGAAGAGGACACTTTGGACTATCTATCTATGGAAAAAAAACAATAGATTGCTATCTTAGTTTCCGCAGATCCGAAGTGCTTTTCCAAAGATCTCCTTTCAAATAGTTTCGGAAAAGGGTTTTGCTTATGAAAACATAGGTTATTAAAATTATTCAAAAAACAACCAAGTGCATTGAATTTTGGTGCCGATAGTCGGGTATATGCGACTGTTGGTTTTTAACCAAAATCTAATTATTCTTATAGGAAGGTTCAAAATTTGTATCGCGATTTAGAGAAAAACGGTCAGACAAGCAGAAAATATAAACTAATACTACGTTCGTTCTAAAATTAACTCATACTCTTAGAGTGTCACTTCGGCACTTCGGTCATAAGTACACACACTTGAAGTGAGATTTTTCCCTCTTGGTTTACTCTCAATTTTGAAGTAAAATATTTATTCCGATTTTGAAAGTAAAAGGCTTACTCTCAGTTTCGTAGTAAGGAATTTACTCTCTTTTCAAAAGTAAGATATTTACTTCTATTTTTGGAGTAAGACATAGACTTCCACCTTTAGAGTAAAGCATTTGTTTTTTCTCTTTCGGTGTTTGATAGAATTTGATTTGTAAAATGGATTGATAAAATTTTTGTCATGTACATAAATAAAACAAGATAAGTAGAACAGACTGTATCATGGCTTCCATAAATGTATCTTTATATTATCAGGTGTTTATAAGGTGTTTTATATTATAAGGCTTTGCGTTGAAGTAAATAGAGTTAGACAGAAAGAAATTTAGTAATAAATTTAGAACACTGCTTAGAATATTTATCTTTGTTTTTAGTTTTACTTCAATTTTTGAAAAGTCTAAAAATTTACCCCGAAATTGACTTCCAATATCCTCCCCCTATCTCCGAGGAATCGGGGCGTCCCTGAACAGGAGTTTCTTAAAGGAGAAAGAGTAACACGGAAATATAGACGTTGAACCTCATACTCGTTACAACTACGATGAATGTGATGTTGTCAGTTCAGAAATTGGGTAATAACTTTCAAAGGGCTATTACGAGCAGTATATTTCAGCAGAATACAACAATCAGTTGAGAAGCACAGCAAAAATTAAACTATTATACAAATCCTAGTGAATATTGAACTGAGGGTATTCAATAATAGAGCACTAGCAAATAAGGAGATATCTCTTTTCACATACGATATCTCGTGTGCCAACATTTTTTTGTCTCAGCGCGTCGATTGAAACGAAAGAGAACAGAAAGATATGCATGTGCGAAAAG